ACTTTGAGAGGTTGAGCATCCCAGCAAGTAAGTGGCAAAGCTGAGATTTAAACATACCTATGACTACTGTACTTTTCTGTTCATATCAATATACTACTTTGCAATGCATGGTAACACATAGCAATGTAACAATTACTTGCCACATCTGGCTCCCACTTTGGCCTATGAGTACCTTAACGCTTGGACTGATGGAAAGGGAAAGCAATGGGGTCTAGAAAAAGAGTGGTAGGTGAGACTCAAAAAATAACTCAGTCTCTAACAATGACCATATTATTACAGTAGCAGCCTTAGATAAACAACATGATTTTGTTCCGAATTTATATGGAAATACTTAATTAAATTAAACTGCAGGATTTTGTTCAAATGTCAAAAGTGATATTTATTAGAAACTAAGAAGTAAGTTCCTTCAGTTTTTCCATTTTGTTTTTAAGTTTTCAAGGCCAATGATTATAAAAGTCGGGTTTAAAGCTGAAAACCTTGACATTTGCACAAAAGCAATTATCTTTTCCATTCATTATAAATTACAATGCTACCTATCTACCTTGATGCTGCCTGTGACCCACAAAATCTGCCCAAAGCATTTTATGTAATAGCCTTCAAAAGACCATGTACAGAGATTCCCAAATCAAAACACTTGGCTATTACCGCTGTCGACAATTATGGTTTGTCCTTAAAGATATGAGGTAAGGAGGGGTTGAGGAGGCAGATAGCGAGAATAATAAGAGAAGGCAGATGCAACTCTGTGCTTGCTCTGACTGGTGATCAAACCCTAAACAATGAAACACTTAGGGAAAAAAACTGTGACTGTTATACTTATGTAAGGCATTACTAAGATTAGTAGATTTTATTATTCCCTAATCAAAAATGTTCCAATTTTACCATACTAAAATCATCTTGATTCTATATATTATCCGTAAAATAGCCATAGCACTTCTTTCCATAATGTGTGTATGAATATATATATATACAATCTGTGTTGGATTATTTGACTGTACATTTCATGTCAAATCATGTCCTTTATTAGTATTTCAATGTTTCAAAAATACATAAATTATACTGATCATAAACACACATAGCATGCAAATTGCTACTCTACATATCAGAGAGAGAAGGTAGGCTGTGAGTTCAAAGAAATTAAAAATCAAACTGAGAACAAAGGCAAAACTAAATTGTTACATACATAGTTTGTTATGTATAGTTTGACAGGAGAAAAAAGAAGTACAGAGGTTTACTAGGAAAAAACATAGCTACATAAGAAAATTAAATTTCAAAAATCAGTCAGCATCAAGAGTTGATGGACAAATGGGCAATGCAAAACTGGTATAATTACTTTGGAAAATAGTTTGAGGTCACTTAGTAAATCTGAGCATGTGTGTACCCTACAGCCCAGCAATTTTACTTGGGAGTATGTAACATAGAGAAATTCTTGCACAGATGTGTTAAGGATTTTATATGGATGTTCATAAGTATAATACTTGTAGTAGCAAGGAAAAAAAATAGGAAGTATACATGGACCACTTCTATTGCATACCAAAGTATAATATAGTTGTCATGAGGAAAAGTATTCATGTGATTGAGTTATAAACTGAAATAGCCACTTTTTTTATGGAACACCATTTTTACTGGAAAGATTGACAAACTATGATTATTCAGACTTGAGTAGGAAGACATTCTGTCACTTCAAAGAATAGAATTGATAGTGTTTGTTGCCAATGATAAAATTCAAGCTTTCAAATGAGGCTTATAATTTTGGAAAAAGTATATCCACCACCACAAACTTGACAGCTTCCTCATACTTACAGCCTGTTCTGAGACTGATGCTGATATTGACAAATGTGATTGTTTTTATATTATACAAGAAAATGTGTCAACATTTGGAAGATCTGAATAACTCAGTGAACCAATATTTTCCACATGACTAATACATGATATTACAAAATCATGCACAGGGAGAGATCCACTCAAAAGACAAGATAGAACAAATTTTAATGTTACTAAGTACAAAAAGTTAATTGATATGGTTTCACATTCTACATTGTAACTAACTTTTGAGAAACTATCACTTATTGAATTTTAGTATAGTATCAAATAAAAATAGGCATAATTATCTAAAAAGGCTATTAGAATACTCCTCCCTTTTCCAACTATGTATCTGTGTGAGACTACATTTTCTTCATATACTTCAACCATATAATGTAAAAGCAGATATCCGAATATATCTGTCCTGTATTAAGCCAGATATTAAGGAAATTTGTAAAAATGTAAAACACCACTATCCTTGCTGAATTCTTTTGTTTTGGAAAATGGTCATTTTTCATAAGAAATGTTACTTATGTTAATTTTTAATGAGTTAATGTTTGTAAAATAAACTAATATTTTTTAAACTTTTTAAATTATTAACATAGTAAGTATCCATAGATATAACCCCCCACTTCCTCAAAAAAATAGCTCTTTTGAGTCCTTCTTCACTAGCCAAGGGCAGCAAATTACCCCAAAACTTAGCAGCAGCAACCTAAAATAATATCTACTATCTCCCATAGTTTTTGAGAGTCAGGAATCCAGCTTTCACGTCAGGATTTCTCATGAGGTTTTAATAAGCTGTTGGCCAGAACTACAGTTTCTGAAGACTTGACTAGGGTTAGAAGATCTGCTTCCAAACTCATTCGGATGGCTGTTGGTAGGAAGCTTAATATTTACAGCTAATTACATTTATCTCTTTTTTCACTTCTACCATATTCTTTTCTTTCTTGACATTTCCCTTGTTTTACTTTACTACCAAAATGTTAGGTTCGAGTTATTAAAGCCAAACCAATATATTCGCTACATCTTTGAATAAAAGGGTTTAATAAAACTCTACTCCCCCAGCACCAAAAAAGTAAAAACATGGGAAAAAAAAAATGTTAATAACAGTACTTCCTCTGCCCCAAAACTAAATACTATCTATTGCTCATTTATAAAGAAACAAGGCAGAAAATATTAACATTTAAAAATACAAAATAAAGAACAAAGTTGGAGGCTGAAACTTCCTGATTTCAAAACTTATTACAAAGCTACAGTAATCGGGCAGGTGGGATGTGGGAGGAGGGTATGGGCAAATTCGCAACTAATGGGTACAGTGTGCACTTTCTGGGGGATGGACATGCTCATAGCTCTTGACTTGGGCAGTGCAAAGGCAATATATGTAACCAAAGTGTTTGTACCCCCATAATATTCTGAAATCAAAAAAAAAACAAAAACCAATGTGTTGCTAGCATGAATATGGACAGAGAGACAAATGGAATAGAATAGAGAGCCCAGAAATAAACCTTTGCATATATGGTTGCTATGGTCTGAACCTTTGTGTCCTCCCAAAATTCAAAATTCATATACTGAAATCCTAACCCCCAAATGAGATGGCATTAGGAGATGGGGCCTTTCAGGGGTTACTAGATCATGAGGGCTGAGCTCCCAAGAATGAGATTATAAAAGAGGCCCCAGAGAGACCCCCATCTCTCTCACTATGTGAAGACACAGCAAGAAGGCACCATCTATGTACCAAAAAGCAGGTCTTCATTAGACACCAAATCTGCCAGTGCCTTGATCTTGAACTTCCCAGCCTTCAAAACAGTAAGAAATAAATTTCTGTTGTTTATAAGCTACCCAGGTTACTGTATTTTGTAATAAGACCACAAATAGACTAAGACAACGGTCAAATAATTTTTGACAAGGGTACCATGACCATTCAATGGGGAAAGGACAGTCTTTTCAACAAATGGTGCTGGGAAAAATCGATACCCATGTACACAAGAAGGAAATTCTTATACCACATAAAAATTAACTCAAAATGGATCAGAGACATAAACATAAGACCTAAAACTATAAAACTCTTCGACAGAAACAAAGAAAAAGCTTCATGACATTGGACTTGGCCATGATTTTTCGGATATGATGCTAAAAGAACAGGCTACAAAAGTGAAAGTAGAAAAATTAGACTACATCAAAATTTAAAACTCCTCTGCATCAAATGATACAACAAAAGAGTGAAAAGACATCCTACAGAATGGGATAAAATATTTGCAAATCATATATCTGATAAGGGGTTAATACCTAGAATATATACAAAACTTCTACAACTCAACAACAAAACAGTTAAAATTATGTGGCCAACAAGCACATGAAAAGATGTCCAACATCCTATTCATTAGGAACATGCAAATCAAAACCACAATGAAAATTAAAAAACCACAATAAGGCATCACTTTATACTCATTAAGATAGCTACTCTAAGAAAAAAGAAAGAAAGAAAAATAAAATAACCAGTTTTGGGGAGGATGTGGAGAAACTGAAACCCTTGCGCACTGTTGGTGGGAATACAAAAGGGTACAGCCACCATGGAAATCAGTATGGCAGTTCCTCAAAGAATTAAAAATAAAATTACCATACGATCCAGCAATTCCACTTCTGGGTAAAAGAACTGAAAGCAAGGTTTCAAAGAGATATTTGTACACCCATGGTCTGACTAGCATTACTTACAATAGCCAAAAGAAATAAGTCACCCAAGCGCCCATCAGCTGATGAATGGATATAGTATGGTATAGACATATAATGAAACAGTATTCAGCCTTAAAAAGAAAATTCTGAAACACGCTACAACATGGATGAAGCTTGAGGACATTACGTTAAGTGAAATAGTCACAAAAAGACAAATACTGCGTGATTCTAGTTATATGGGGCACCTAGGATACTCAAACTCATAGAGATACAAAGAAGAATGGTGGTTGTCAGGAGCTGGGGGAGGGAGGAATGAGGAGCTAATGGGAACAGAGTTTCAGTTTTGCAAGATGGAAAGAGTTCTGGAGATTGGTTAGCACAACAATGTGAACATACTTAACACTAAAAAAAAAAAAAATACAGAATAAGTCACACTGTACTGCGCCAATATATACTTTAAAAATACACAAGATTAAAATTTAAGATACATAAAATAAATTCACCACTACATAAAGATTTAAAATTCTCACCTCATTTTTTTGTGTTAATTCATTAATTGAACTTTTAAGTTTTTGTAGTTCCTGTACATACACAGCAACTTCCTGGGGACCTTTGGCAAGTTCATTCCTTAGCTGGGTTATTGTGGCCTTAAAAAAAGAAAAGAAAATTAGAGCAAACTAAAGTAAAAAAGGAAATGGAAGCATACAAAGTTTTAATATAACACAAATTTCTGTTATGGATGCTGTTGTTAAATTGAACTTTCAATTGGAACTTTCAATTTGGTTCTTTATTCTACTACCTTTACTGCCACCTCACACTTTTTTGGGCTTAAAACTAATTTTTAAAATTTATCCAAAATACCCAACTGCATCTATTTAATAATACATGAAATGAAAAACTGACATATTACTTTATGTGTCTGAAGCATCAAACTACAAACCTGAATTTATTAGCTTTGAAACTCTATTTTAATGCTCCTGAATTTAAAAATGATACGCAAATTATATCTACATTTTCTTCCAATTTCTATAGCATAAAATTTTCCTTTTAATTTAAGACATGTATATGCAAACATGGAATACAGAGTTTTTGATACTGGTAGATCACCTTTCTGATTGTAATGAAAATGCATTTGTCCAAAGAAGTTACCAAACTGAAGTTATATATAGTTCCATTAAGCTAGATCACTCTACAGTCAAGTAGACTAGCTAGACATGAATTAGCTTTAGGGTATCATTTTTCTTTTTTTTTCCTTAGTTCAACAAATTTCAAGCCAATGCTTTAGTGCATTTTAACATTTTAAAAAAAATGAAAATTAATGTTTATTATTAAAACAATAGTTTTATCATTTTAAAAATAATATAAGAGAAAGACAGATAAGCAAAGGTCTTAGAAATATAAACTTCCCATACATGAAAGTTCAACCATTACAGAGAAAGACTAAGGTATTGATTTTTTAGGTATGGTTTCCTGCAAATGACTCTGACAAAAGAATTTTCTACTTCTAATACTGCTCGTGGCTTTATTTTTTACATTTCTAAAGTTACAATTATTTCCATTGTCTATATTCTTTATTACTGAATACACTTTATAATATGGGTAAGATAAATTTTCAATTTTTTTCTTAATAAGCACATCAATAGTTATATATATCATATATTACAAATAAGTACTTTCATCTTTAAGGGAGAAACCTCAGAAGGCTACTGATTGTAATTACCGTGACAATAAGGCCATCGCGCAATAGATCTTTCGCTACTCCTCTTTTGGAAACCCTTCCGGTGTGGAACTTAATTTTTTAAGGAATGTTCAGTGGTGGTATATCTTTATCCATTTATGGTGACTTTGGTTTTAAGTTTTGGAAACCACCATATGTGTAAATAAGGTAAGTGATTGACGTGAGTGATCAAACACTTGGGCTTATTTTATTTCAATAACCACATGTTAATAAAACTAGTTTTTTCAGTGTGTTTCAAACTGGTTTAAAATCAATTAAAATAAGTTTCAAAAATGTTTTTAGGAACGGAACATGTCTGAGGTATGTGTACGGCCTGACCTTTGAAGAAAACACTCAGTTACATGTACCAATTCTGATACAGTGAAAGGCAATCTATAAAACTAGTGTATAGTTCCACCCCATACATATTCATGTATTTTCAACTATGTTCAAGTTAAAGGCATACCCTAACATTAATATTATTAAATATCTGTCTTAAGCTGATCATGTAACCTTGAAATGGAATGTAAGTATTGGACATGTATTTCAAATTACTATTTCTAACAACTTTCAATGTCAGAATTTTGTCAGTAGGATCACGGATTTTTGTTTGGTTTTTGCTTTATTTTCTACACAGAGTCTCACTCTGCTACCCAGTCTGGAGTGCAGTGGTACAATCACAGCTCACTGCAGCCTTGAACTCCTAGGCTGAGGTGATCCTCCTGCCTCAGCCTCCCAAGTAGCTAGGACTACAAACGTATGCCACCATGTCTGGCTAATTTTTTATTTTTGTAGAGACGGTGTCTCGCTATATTGCCCAGGCTGATCTCATACATAAATGTCAACTTATCACAAAAGAAAATAAATTTAAATCCCTACATGTAAATATCCTACCAAAGGATTTTGCACAGGTTTCTGGCACACAATAAATAAAAATAAATAACAGTATATATTAAAATGCAAAATATGTGTTTATTTCAATAAAGTCACACAATTTCATATTGAAGTTTATAAAATGAGATAAACCAAGTGTAATGTCTATCAGAGTTTATCTTGCTGATAAATTCCAACATGTAGAAAACATAAAATAAGAAAAATGTAAAGCAAATATATTCTAAAAATATCTTGTCCTTTTTATAGCTTTTAAATATATTCTCATAAATGATTTTATAAGATTAAAACCTAAAGAACTAGACATTAGGTGTATCATTTGTATTCTGTACACTGAATTCAGATATTTTGAAAAACTAAAATTTTTATAAAGATAGATGCAAGCACTGAAAATTTTAAAATTTACTCAAGAGGACAGCAAAGAAAGATGTGGGAAGAGTATGCACCAAAAGACAGACTTTAGTTATGAGGAAGGAGAGGGAGGAGAGTGAATAACAGAAGGCTTTCCCCTTTTCTATTGCATGTTATAAATCATTTTAATCTTTTACAGTGATCTCATATTATGTTTATATTTGGGGAAAAAACCAAGATAAAAGAAAGACAACAATTTCAAAGGAAAAATAAATAAATACATTCCCTCTTTCAGATATCACTACAAGTGAAATTCAAAAAAAGAAAGATTTCCACTCTTGCCACACTGACTTCGCAAACTATTTAACAGGCTAAGCTCACAGGTACCTTGGATGTTAGCACTTACTATAATCTCTTCCTGGGAATCCTAGCTCCCAATGCTCCACCCTGATTCTGACTTCATTCTTCTCACATATATTCTCCTTGAGGAGATCTTCCCTGACCATTCTACCTAAAATCGTCCTACATTATTCCCAGCTCCACTACTGCCCATATTATGCTTTATTTTTCTTCGTCATAGCACTTATTAACTGACTTTCTGTCATGATTTGGTGTACTTATCCAGTTATTGTTCGACTTCCACAAAGGAATATAGGCCTTATGAGAGCAGGCACTGTCTTATTCAGTATTAAATTTCCTACACCTAAAATAATTCCTGACATTTAGCAGGCACTTAAAAAAAATCTCATTAAAGGAATGAGTAATTTTATTTCCAAGGAGTTAATAGATATTTATTCCCAAGGAAACAGTATATTAGATCCTATAAAATAGTTCGTATTTCCTTGGTTTTTTTGAAATATTATTGAATTCGAATTGAATATTTACTAAAAAAAATTTAAATTACAAAATAATTAAGGAACAATATTTCAAGCAAATGTCCTGCTGGTGCTTAAGAACTATAATTATCATTTTAATATTGTACTACTATTAGTAAATAATCACTTAAATGTGGCTGAAAAGTTGCTTAACAAAAACGAGCATGTCTTTGAAGTTCTGAGATTGCCTTAAAACACAAACTGCCATGATGCTAGAAGGTGGTATATAAAGAGTATTGTTAATATTAAAAAGCCTTCCAAAAACACATTACCTCAAGTTTAAGCATCTCCATTAGAAAGCAGAAAAAAAATAACAAAATGATGGATGAAAGGTGGAAGACTGACAAAGGTACACACTGAACACACAATAAAAATGTCCAAACATATTTACAAATCTAGTCTCTTAGCATATTGTCAGAAAATATTTAAATACTTTTTTTAATAGCTATACATGGTTGTAATCATACTAATTCCATACCTATATAAACATTTTACCTCTTAAAACTGGAATTCAAATTAGTTCATTTGGAATACAAATAAAATTCTTTAAAAATCACTTCTATTAAAGACCACACCAAATACAAGTTGATTACAGCTTTGACATTTTCGATAATGTATATTTTCAGAAGTAATACTTTTGAACCTTTAAATCCTCAATTTCTAATCTATAAAACAGCCAAATATTTATAATAAACTTTCAAATGCTTTAGAATGAAATATTTTCTATATGCTTTCAAAAATATCTAGAGAAAAGTCAATGAATTCGTAAGGGATATATTCAATGAAAGTAATCAACATAATAACATTTAATAATGTAAACAAGATTCTATATCATCACTAGAAATACCAAATAAATTGTTTATTTTAAATAAATGTTTATTTGAAATTAAAAAATAAATTTTTAACTTCTAATTCCTTTTTATGTTTTATTTGATGCCAATATTTAGATTCAGTAAAAGTAGCACATCTATAATAAAAATTTTTCTAGTAAGTTCTTTAACTAATATAATTCACTAACACACTTAACTGAAAATAGAATTAAAGTTAATAAATTAATAAAATACACACTGTATATCTGAAGTAAGCAGAAGCTAAAAAACAAATGAAGTTATAAACAAATAAATGAGATGAAGTAATTAGTCATTTTTTTCATATGGAAATGGTATGAGACACAACTCAAAAGTATTTTAAGCTATTACCCAATATAAATATTACAACGTACAAAATGGTAAAATTTAAAGAATAATAACAGTAAGCATTAGGAAAAAATTAAAAGCACAAATTATTTATAAGGCAATCATCAGACCACCTAAAATAGGAGACAACATGATACAGAAGGAAAAACACAGGCTTTGGATAAGATCTGGGTTCAAATCCTAGTTTTTATATTAGGCGTATGACCCTGAAAAAGTTACTTAACCTCTCATTGAGCCTCAGATTCCTCATATGTAAAGCACACTTAATTTAACTTATAGGGTTATAAGAAACAAATGAGATCACATACTTAAAGTGCCTAGCACAGTGTCCAAAACCTGATGGAACTCAAAAAAATAAGTTTGTTTCTAATAATATTATTCTGTTATGCTACCATTTCCTAAAGTTATTCTAAATATTTCAACATAGCCTGAGGTCTCATTCATCACTACATATCCATTAATTAACTAAGAAGGGAATAAATATTCTCCTTGTTTTATTTAATACATAAAAATATAATGAAAAATAACCTATTCAATTACTCAGCAAGAGTGAATCTTTCTAAATTTATTTCAAAATACTTGAAAAGATAAATTTTTATGAAAACTTGAACTTAAGATGTAAGAAATTGATTTCTAAGCCATTTTCCTTCTTTCCCAGAAATATCTTTTCTATAAAAAAAAAAATCATTATTTACTAAAATTAGCCTTATTGACAGGAGGACAATGGAGGGAGACACTAAATTTTTTCACCCCAAATCTTTAATAACTCTAGTCATAACTTTTTCATCTTAAATGACTCTTCTCATTACATTTAAAGGTATTTTAAACTATAACAAAAACATAAATTTATAAAAACTCTCCAAACTAAACTTGAGTAATTCTTAAATATTACATAGAAATATTTTCCCATCACTAAGTTATATTATGTTCCCATATGTATTTTGTCAAATGCAGTAATTATATCAATTTCTTTCCCTTGTTACTCTTCTATTTATTTAACAAGTATATGTATAACTCCAGCACTCTCAGCTGGAAAAGGTCAGAGTGATCTGCACTTTAAAATATATATATTCTAAAACTGCCATTATTTTGGTTCAATTTTAGGCATCATATTACATTTACTTTAAAATTTTAAATAACACTCTTTAATCAAGAGAATGCAATTTTTTTTAAATTTGAGAAATACCAGTAGGCAGGCAGATTTAATCAAAGGTAGTTCTTGTTGAAATACAGACATAAAGGACTGGGTTCACCCAGGTACTTCTACTTTAACATTTGAATGAAACTTTTCTTCACAGGACTTCTTTGATTCAGCCTCTCCTTAATTCTACGTTAGTACTTACAGATTAATCATTGCCTTTTGCTGACTAGCAATACCACTAGAACAGTAGCTTTTAACTGGCTTTGGTATGTTCGTGATATTGTTTAAGAAATTGTTTTTAAAAGTGTGGGATTAAGTGTTACTGGGCTACGAAGTGTCACTTTTGGGAAATCTGCATCTAAAGATCATAAATCTCAGAGTGATGTGTTAAGCATTATAAGGCCATATACATGTTAAACACATAAACTTTCACCATTCTCCCATCGATAAGATATAGGAGAAAGGAAAATAGGAATGAATTAGATATGGGTTATCTATATTTATGCCTCATAGCTTGCTGACATGTTACTATTTATGAATAGAATGGCTTGTAGATCACCAGCTAAAGAACTCTAAGAAAGAGATGCAAATTGAAACATCACTATAACAATTTTTTAAACTAAAAATATGAAAAACAGAGGTCCATTTCACACAAGGAAGGTTAAAGACTGCAAATAATTGTAGTCATAACAAAATATCTCCTATAATACAGTAAAAAGGACAAAGGCTAGCATTTTTGAGCAAATATATTTATTACATATCTCAGAGCTTATCATATGCTGACAATTATATAAGAGATTTACAGGCCAAAGACACAGTAAAAGAAACTGAGAATGTTTATCCTGAAAGAGAAAAAACTCAGGGTAAATATGAACAGTCTTCAAATATTTCATGTGGAAAGAGGAAAAATTTATTCTGTGTAATTCCTGAGGAGAGAACTAGAACCAGTGCATATAAATTACAAGGAAACAAATGTCAACTCAATAGAAAAGCTGACTTGTAAAGAAATATGCATACCCAATACCACCTAGCAAGGGCTGTGGATCACTTTATCAGGGTTGCTTCAAAGGGGAGTCTTGGATGAAATGTTAGACTAGATAATTTTCAAAACATCTTTCAAATACATAATTCGATGTGTATCAATTAGAAATACGCTCATAAGAAAATAAGTCCTTCTTAAACGTTTTTTCTAAACATTGACAACATAATTGTAGAAAATGATATTATTATTCCTTTACTCAATTACCATTTATCAACTAGCCTTGAGTGAATTTAACTTTAAATATTATCTCTCTGCAATATACATCATTTATTAAACAAAATAATAATCTTTTAAGCAAACATTCCTCTCTAAGTGTCTAGCTTTATAAAGTGAAAGTAAAACATTTTGACTATCAGACCACATTGACTATAGACTAATATTACTCAGATCAAATGCAAGATAGACCAATACTGTGTTAATAGGCCACTCAGAAAAATCTCAAATCCTGGCTTTATCCTATAGTATGCACTATACAAGCTAATATTAATCACATTTAAGCACACTGAACTTCATTACCTCTGAGTTAGCATATTCTGCTTGTAACTTTTTGCACTCATCTTTTAGTTTTTCAGATTCTTTCTCACGTTCCAAGGTCATGTTATCCATTAGTGTTTGAACTTGGACTAATTCTTTCTTCAGCACAGCAACATCTTCTATACCAGGTCTCTGAAGCTGTGAAACAACATATTTTGATTAAAAATTACAGTGAAAAACTAAAATAATATACATATTTAAAATAGTTTCACTACAAAGAAATCAAAATGAAAACAATCTTTAACATCAATTACTGGAATCCTAACATAGAACACTGATATCTACCCCCCTAAATAAAGGGAAAAAAGAAGTCAAGGACAGATCCAAGATTGTTAAGCCTGGGGAGAGTGTTAAAGATGAAAGCTAGAAATTCAATCAGAAGTATACTAAAAGTAGGTGGATTCATAAAACTAAAGTGCAAAGGAAGATCAAGATCAGAGATGCAGATACAGAAACTACTAGAATGACAGATGATATTTAGATAGAAACAACAAAAATGTTAAAACAGTAAGGTATATATCATAATATTCCATTTTTATTTTAAAAAATCATATATTATTTATATATGTAGGTGGTACAATATAGGGAATTTTTATTTCCTCCATTTCACTCAAACTATATTTTTAAAAATTTTTTCTTCAGAATATGTATTTCATTTTTAATTTAGAAAAGTATAAAAGTCCATCTCAATAAATGGTTCTCAATAAATGGTTTCTAAATTACCAGTTCAGTCTTCAGATCTTGAATTATAGTTGCCTCTTTGTTTAATTCTTCCGTCAGATGTGTCACTTTTTGTTCGGCAGCTTCACGAAGACTCCTTTCTTCATCATATTTTGACTTTACATCTAATTAAAGATAGTTATATAAACATTAGTTTCATGACATTAACTCTAGGGAAGAATAGTTTTATAAGTTCCTGTATATTACTCTGCATATCTATGTATCATTCTAATTCAAATTCACATACCATAAATAATCATAAATGTATACAATAAATCTATACTTCTGATTATAGTGAATGATGAACTTAAAAATAATGAAATGTTTTTGTCTACATAAATTCTACCCAACCCTAATTTACTAATTACCATTTTAATGTATACTTAATTATATATAATTATTTGCTAAAAGCATATAATGTTAAAAATGTAATTGATAGTATTAAGCAAATGTTAAATCTATAGTATTTAATTCACTTATTTAAAATGTTGATTTTTAATCTTTAAGCATACCACAAAAAAATTCTCTAAATTGCAAGTAGAATCTAAATTCTCTTCTCTAAATTGCAAGTAGAATCTAGAGAAAAACCAGTCCCTTGAGGGGAGAAAGAAGGAGGATAATAAGATAATCTACATAGCAACTCTAATATCATTAAATTCCATTAATCACCACTATAGTGTTTAACAAATGTTTTACCACACTAAGGTGATATGTCTATTTCTAGGGTATATAATGGCAAAAGTGCAATGAGACTGATTTTCTGGCTAAAAAATTCTGACCCAATTTACCTGCAATTTCAGTAGCAAGTTGGGCAGCTTTCTGCTCAAATAAGTCTTTCATTTGCTTAATATTAAAATTTTCTGTTTGGGCTTCTTCTAATTGTTGTTCCAAAGATTGTAGTTCTGCAAAAAAGTGTAACAGTTATTCAAATACAATGTTAATTACATACGGTAAATTGTTATTATTTGTAATCATTATAGTAGTGAAGATAATAGACATATAGACAATAGAAAACATGAGTCTGTTAATCCAATTGTAAGTAGAGTATTTTTACATTTCAAGAACTAAGCATATCTGATTCATTTAAGTCACAATTTATAAACACAATAGAACAAACGAAAGGAATATTTAGAATCACCACCAAATAATCTATGAGTATTTGTTTAAAAGTTATTTTGATTTCACATTTCAGTTACTTTCCTACATCTATCAACTGACCAAAAAAGAATATATTCTGATCCTCTCATAAAATTAGTAATAAAGGAAGATGAAATTAGAAATGGTTAAGAGCAATTAAGGTCTTGAAAAAATTAATGAAAATATGTAGTCAACTCCTAATACTTCATCATAAAGAAAAGAGATTTCAGAGAGAAATTAAATGTAACAGCTAACCTCAAAATATAATTCTCGTTATTCATTAAGCATTCCTCCAGTTAAAGATGTTAAAAAGATGCTAGCTTCATCAATTTCAAAGGCCAAAGACTATCTCACTCTTAAGATAGACTTAAATTTTCATTAAACAACCATATTAATGTAATATTCCAAAATTTTGTCTAACTTCAGATTATAATGAACTAAAAAAAACTAAAATTTTAGTTAACTGATTAAATTATAAAGTTTGCATATAACTTTCTAAACCTAAAATATGATCATTACCTCCACTGTTTTAGAAGCATAAAGTATAACCAAAGAACAAAATTAATTTAGCAGGCATCAAGAAAAAAAAGAAGTATGATAAAAAAGAAAAAGAAAATTGAAAAAGTATCCACTTTCAAGTAAAGTTACCTGCTGATGAATCAGTCGACAATCCATCAGGTTTAGACTCCTCAATGAAAACAAAAGACATAAACAAAGGCATTAAAAGGAAAAGACAATACTGTTACAATTGCCAATGTTAAAAATCTCTGAAAGTCACATTCTATCAAGTAAGTAGCAAGATTTTGGTGAAAATTAAAGTTTGGTGGTTCCCATCCCTTCAGCCCTACGAGGTACCAGTAGGCAGACAAGCATAATGATCTAACTTCATTCAGTTCACTGGTTCTAAGGCAGATTTTTTTGTATAGTAATATATATAAAATTATTATGGGTCTTACAATAGATGACATCTTAAATTCCATAAATTCAGTAATAAACAGTATAAATTATTACAATTATAAATATAGATTCTAAAACAAATGCTTAAGTCAGCAGGCAAGATTCAGTCCTATTGCTATGTAGTTTTGAAATGATTCCAAACACTTGACATAGTTTGCCACGTGGATAATGCATACATTGCTATAATAAGAACTCGGGAATGTTATCTCCCTACATTTGAGCATGTGATGCCTGTAATGCCCCTTATGTGAGAACTTGGAGTGAACTTCCCCTCCCCTTGGGAATGTTACATCAGACCTTTTCATTCCTCACATGGGAACTACTGACCTCAACTACTGGACTTCAAAATACATATAAACCTAAGAGTCTGACAGACACTTTGAGAACTTAGGCCATTACATGCTGCACTCGGTCAGCTGCTTCTCTGAGACTGACAGCTTAGGCTGCGACAGGGCCACACTCCAGCGCGTTAGCCTTTGAGCTTTGAAGACACACCTGCCAACACCTGTATCGCCCTCTACCCGCGAGGGATCCCTGTCCTCACAGATCTCCACTGTTTTAGACACCATCTGGCCAAAGAAACCACTCATTAAAAAAGGTACACTTTAATCGGACTTTACTTTCCACAAAGGCCTGCTTCCATCCTAATAGAATAACTAGATGCTAATAATTTTAGAACCCACTCACTATGTGGTTATAGATTCCTCATCTATTGATAATTCCCTTTGAGATTTATGTTATTCTCCCCCACTTCAAGCACTGTAAACCTTAGAAAAATTGAGGTTTGTGTGGCAATAAACCATGTGATTTGTGAAATCACACTTTGGTCATATCCTTATTGTAACTATATAAAACACTTATAATATTTGAAAATTTGCATAAGTTAAATTATGCCATCAAACTATCACAACTAAAAAATGTGGCTTTAAAAACATAAAATTTTAATTCAGAATCATAAATGATCTTTAAAAGAAGCAGAAATAAAGAACATATTCCATAAGCTTTAATTTATCACATGCATTAGGAACAAAATATATAATGTTGACATTATTTTCATATTTTAAAGAATTATACACATCTGAAAGAGTTTAATAAGGCATTTCATAGTATACCTGACTTTCTATACCTAGACTTATACATATTGACTGCTAAGAATCATCAGTATTTAAAATACATTTTCCCCCAAAGGTAAATTTTCTGCCAAAGTAATTTATACCATAAATGGTGGAGAATTTAATTAAATGTTTCAAATGTAAAATAATCATCTCAAATGTAGTAAACAATTTCCTCTGTTTTCAGGTACAGAAAATAATACAGCCCATATTTGAGTAATTGTTAATGGCATCTATACAAAACACAAGTAAATGAACTATAAGTATTTTAGATTACGAAAAACTTCTTTAACGTTGACAGAATCCCCAGTTAGAGAAGCTGAGTAGTAATAAGATTTGATATCTTGTTATTCATTTGTTTTTGTCTTTTCCAGTCCAAAGGACAACTATTGGTGCAAAGATTAAAAAGCAAAAAAGACTGACTAAAAGTCTCAATATGCTAAGATAATGTGCAAAGGGATCATTAATTACTTCGTAAAAACATTAGAACTATTACTGAAGGGTATCTATTATTGCAAATGATAATTTGGTGAAATTCATTACTCTTTGAATCTTCCTGTAATTTTAGCACAAAGTCAATATAATTTTAGCTTAAAACTCATAATTGGTTAAGGCATTTATTTGGAAAATATATTAAACTGTAAAGAATCTAAAATATCAAAATAACCTCACTCAGAGATAACCCCTTTCTATATGATAGTGATTTTCTTCTGGTTTTTTCTTTTTTTTTTTTTTTACTGCACTGAGGTATGATCTTATGGTTTTTTCTACGTATTATTTTTATGTCAGAAAGTCATACGGTATATGTGTGTGTATGTACATATACACACACACACATTTTTATCCAGTTTTTTTAAAACCTAGCATTGTTAATAGAACAGTTTTCCCAGTTTTCAAACAATCTTCACTAACATAAATAGCTCATAATATTTCTTTCTCTACCAAATAGACATTTCCAATTTGTCCCAAACACAAATACTTTGAAGAGATTCACTACTGTTTGAACCTACATTTTTTAGCCATTAAGCTATACTGTCAAAAAATTAGATTAACATCACCTGGTATAAAAAAGCAATTCATAAGTACCACTGATTCTTAATGGGACACCTTTAAAAAGTTATCTTCACTCCCCATGTATTCATTTGTATTCATTAAAATTACAAAGAATTTACACTGTAGGCTATTAAATACAGAGAAACAAATTAGGAAGTTATTTATATCAGGCTGCCTGCTTACAAAAAGGTATTAAGCTTAATGTTAAACATAAAAATAAATAGCTAATAAACATGTTTTAAGTATTTAAAAGCAATTACTTGCTGCTGCAGCCCTTGATATTTCTCTAATTCTTTCTTTAATTCTTCCGAGTACCATTTTTCTTCCTAATGAAAAAGATTTTTAATTAGTAAATTTTAAAGACTTATTATCTTGAAACATTGAAAATAAACAAGTTTTATCATTTTTATTCTTACCTTAAGGGAAGCCTGTAGGTCTTGGACCTCTTGTCTGAGTAGTGTTATATCATCTCTAAACATACATGGGGGGAGAGGAATTAATAGTTAATATTCTTTAATTAACAACTTGGTATCTTAACAAATCATGGCTAGCAACTGCATATTAATATTTTAGTTTTCTCAATTCTTAAAAAACTACTGAAGATTTTATCTATAATGACATATATATAAAGTCCTTTGAAAAATAATTTTATTTCTAAAGCTCATTGGTTATAAATGGAAAAACATTTTCTCATGGAATAATCATATTACTGGAAGTATCTGGGCCAGAAGCAAAATGTCTCTTATTAATTTACTAATAAGTATCAATGGGTTCCTCCTGCAGTTAGCATAAAATCTAAACTCATTAGCAAGGACTATAAAATCTGCACAATCCAGTCCCTGCCTTATCACTCACTCCTTCATTCATTTAGCTCTAACAACAGTGGCTTCTTTCAGTTCCCTGAGTGTGACATGTTCTTTCCTGTCTGAGAGCCTTCTCAAATTCTGTTCCCCTCACCTAAGAGTCAGACTGAAAAAGACTGGTGAGCCAACCACCCTAGGCCCTAATGCAGGAGAGAGATTTCATGAGAAAACACATTTAGGATTATTATTCTGGATGTCAGGAACATATCTTCCCCTGTTGGATTGAAACTTATCTTACAGATATACTCAAACATGTGCAAATGATATCTCTACAAGGATATATACCACAACGTCATAAGTGCAAAATAGTGAAAATATCCTAGTCATCAACAGAAGAATAAAATTCCACACAATCATTAAAAAGAATGAGACAGCTCTGTCTGCATTGATGTAAAAGAATCTATAAGATACAGAAAGAAGCAAAAGGTATTTGACAATGTAGAATTGCCATTTTTATGTAATTACAGATATTTATACATTTATATGTACACAGATAAAGGCATATGCATACACATGCATAGACTAGCTTTGGAAGAATATACAAAAAACTGATGAAAACAAAGTAAGAGGCTAGGGAAAAGGGGGTGGCAAAGGCATAATTTTCACTATAAACCTTTTAGAACCATTTGAATTTTATTCTAGGTACCTATCATTTACATACATACATTTAAAAATCATCTAAATAAACTACTAATGCATCAGTTTTCATATATTTGATCAACGTTGATGGAATCCACATGAAAACTAATGAACAGAGAGTTTTAAAGCAAAAAGGTTTATGATTCACTCAAGGCATTTAGACTTTTGATCTAAAACACATGTCCTGCCCATAGTCAATATATTATCCAATGTGTTGGAGGAGTAGAATATAATTGTCAGAAACTAGAGAGGTGTAGGAAGACAGGAAGAGGAGATACAATAAGAGATAAAAATGGAAAAGTACTCACTAACTATCCCACATAAGCCATGAGAAACCAGTAAAAGTTATTATTTAGAGGAACAGCAATCAAATTTGCATTTTAAGAATATTATTCTAGCAGCAATATGGAGAAGTAATTGGAGAAGTATAGACTAAATACAGAGAGCCTACTATAAATAGTGAAAAATATTATTGAGTGAGATATGATAAGGCCTAAATTAAATAAGCTGTAGCAGTAAGGATGGAAAAATTATGAGAGCTGTCAAAAAAACAGAAATAACTTTGTGATAAATCAGATGGAGGAAGCAGGGGAAGGTGTGTAAAAATGAGCACACCCAATTTTCTGGCTTTAGCAACTGGGTGATCAGATAATGCCGCCGATCACCAGAAGAAGTAACAGTAGACAAGGAGCAGGTTTAGAATATAATGAATTCTGTTTATAAAATTTCAGTGATAAGATGCCATGGAACATCTAACAGAAGATACCTAGCGGACAATTTAGGAGATAAATCTGGGTTGGAGATATAGTTTAGAAGGAAGTTATGGATGTGGATATTATCCCAGGTAGGTCATATAGAGGAAGACCAGCACGCAAAACAGATCAAGAAAAAAAATAATCACAACGGTATATTATCTCAGAAGACTAGAAGGAAAAAGACCTAGCAGAGTCAAACTTTGCAGAGGTTGTGGCAGACCGTCTACAAAGATGACTGCCATCAAGTTCTTCCCTTCCTATATGCAAAGTCCACTGCTCCACTGAAAGACAAAGTTTACTTCCAGGCCTCTTCAACCTGACCTGGCTCTGTGACTACATCAACCAATAGAATGTGGCAGATGTGATGCTCTTGACACTTTTGAATCAGGCCTAAAGAAGACTGGAAGCTTCTGCTGCTTCCCTCTTGGAGTGCACTTTCTTGGAACACAACGGTTGGTTTATTAAGTCCAAGCTGCCACATAGAGAGGCCCATATGAAAGAGAACTGAGGCCCGTGGCCTATAGCCCCAGCTGAGCTCCCAGCCAGCATCCAACACCAACGTCCAGCCATGAATGTGAGGCCATATTGACCTTCTGGCTTTCCTACGACCACAGACCACATCACTTAAACAGAAGAACCATTCAGTCAAAGAATAACGAGAAAAAATAAACTGCTATAGTTTTAAACTACTATAAGCTTTGGGTGGACTGTTAGACAATAATAGATAACAAAATTTGATGTTAAGTAAAATAAGAACTGAAAATAATCCAGGTCACTATTGGCCTTTGAAGGAGCCCTTTCAGGAGAATGATAGAGCAGAAGCCAGTCAGTGAACTAATCACTAAATGAAAAGTTAAGAACAAGGGTAGACTGTGGATGCTTTTATGTTGCAAGTTCATATATTGAACATGGTCTAATTCATAGCTGCAAATGCAACTGTGTTAAGTTGATATTAAATACAAAGACATTTATAATGTGATTTAAGATAACTATATATATTTTATCTATTTCCTAACAAATGACAAAGAATACTAGCCACAATTATTAACTTATACATGAAAATACCAAAGAGCATTAACAGTCATGTAAAAAGAAACATCCATTCTTCCCCAAAGCACTAATTTTCCCACATATTTTAATAAATTAAATGAACTATATTTTATAGTTCTACATTATCTATAAACCATAAAGTTATATAGTTACCATACTTCTCCTCTATGTACTATTTTTGTGTTAGAGCAGATTAATAAAACAAGAAGTATTTTTTTTTCAAGGAAACCATGAAAAAAACATTTTTTACAAGTAGAATGAAATCAAGCTTTTTTCCCTAGTGTGCGTAAAAGATGAGCATTTTCGCCAATAGCCGAAGAAAAGCAAAGTTATATTCTTGGATGATGCTCTAAGTTATATTTTAGTTTAGTTTTAGCTCTCAAAATGGTCAGGCTAAACTGTCAAAAAGTACAATGTGTATGCGTGCTTATTATTATATTGATGATTATAAATGACATTTTTTAAAATTTAAATTAAAATTTAAATTTTAATTCTTGGCTAAATTCATTATTTTAACACCTTGCTATAAAATTATTTAAACAAAGCATATCATTCTTTATTAAGCAGAATATGTTAAATATAATTTAACCTTCTTTTGCTAACTCACAATCTCCATTAAAAATACAATCTCTGGCCAGGTGCAGTGGCTCACACCTATAATCCCAGCACTTTGGGAAGCCAAGGTGGGAGGATCACTTGAGGCTAGGAGTTGAAGACCAGTGTGGGCAACAGAGCGAGACCCCATCTCTAAAAAAAAAAAAATTTAGCCGGGAATGGTGGTGCACACCTGTAGTCCCAGCTACTTGGGAGGCTGAGACAGATGGATCCCTTGAGCCCAGGAGTTTGAGGTTGCTGTGAGCTATGATGATGCCACTGCACTCTAGGTAACAGAGAGAGATCCTATCTCAAAAAAAAATAAATGAATAAAAGATAAAAATACAAGTTCTGTACCATGTTGTAGATGCTGGTATAGATAGTTGCTGATCAAGGACCGAATAGGTTATAATAATAAGGAAAGAAGGCCATGCTAATAGAGGACAGATTGAAATTAAATACAAAAAAATTACCATTTTCATAAACTCATTAATCATGATTAAACCATGATATCATATGCACATTCTATAACAATATTACACTTCAAAATTATCATACCGTACCGCTTCAAAGCAATATTAGCCTCTCCTCCATGACTTGAATCATTACCAGCATCATGAACTGCTTCATAGTGTTTGAAAAGTTCATCAGCAGATCCAAGAGATTTCATACATTGGGGACATATGAAGCCCTATAGAAAGAAGCAGAATAAAAGTTTCAAAATAGCATTTAATATTGCAAAATCACAATTTACATATTATGAAATATGGTCAAATGTCTTATTCTTACCAATGGTGCCATTAAGTAAATTGTAATTTACGGTGTTAATCCCAAACTCTAGTATCATGCAAAGGTACTTCACTGTCTATTCTGGTTGAAGTTTACAAAATACAAAGAAAACCCCTGCAACCATCTTTTAGGTTGAATAAATTGATGGCTAGAATACCAAATTCTAATTTGAAAAGTTCTAATCTAGAAGATTAGTTGAAAAGATTTGCCATCAGATTCTTCTTCTCTCCAGATATCCCCATTTGTAAAATAATACCTGTTTCAATCTACTCCATAGAAATGCTAACAAAAAGAAATTAAGAAGATGAAGCACTCTGATCACTGAGGGGAAAAAAGTAATAGAGTAAATCATTCATAATTGCCACAGAGTTCAGATATCTACAGTGGTAGAGAAGTATTCTAGTCAGTAAATTTCCTTGCTAACCTAAGGTTAACACAGTAAAAGTCTAAAATTAATGTACAGCCCCATAAAATATAAAAACTTATAATTAATCCCAGAATTATTATACAGTTAAGACTATCAACTAGAGTGCTATGTTAAATATGCTGATATAGATCCATGTTTTATAAATTTGAAGTTGTAATTCATTAATGACTCATGAAATCTATCTACTGGGCTGGAACTTTTTTTTAATAATACTCTACTAAGGATAAATAATGTTTTACTAACTTTTGTTTTCGGTGATGACAAAAAAAGTCATCTTATTTCCACTTATTTTCCAATTTCCATCTTATTTTCCACTTATTTCCTAAGTGGCTGCCATCAAAAATATTTGAGAAGCACTGGTATAGACAGACAGTTGGTTGATGTGGGATGGAATGTGTAATAATAATAATGACTATTTTTTTATTGAGTCCATACTATATGCCAGGCACTTTTCCTACATAATCTCATTTAAATCTCGCAACTCTTTATTAGTAAGCATTATCATCACAATTTTATAGAAGAAGAAATTAAACCACAGAAAAGTTAAAGGACTTTTCTAAGGTCACAAACCTAACTAAACCAGAATATGCACAGATCTGTTGGACAAATCCCATGTTCTTTCCAGAATGCTACACTATCTCTTGAACTCATTGACTTACCCTTATAAGTGACTTCTTTAAAATAAACTCTTTTATATGCTAACTTTTTAGTGACTTTATTCAATAAATATTAGTTGATTATAATTTCAAGTGTTGTAATAGTTCCGTGTAAGATATAAATGGTAAAACAAAGCCTCAGCCATCAAAGAACTGAGGAGGCAGAATATATACGTGTGAAAAAAAACAAATATATATATGAAAAAATACCTTAGTTCATGAAACTGAATTAATGATTAACCAGATGACATTAAAGCTTACATTGTAGCACCTGAGTGCTAAGCAAATTAGCAAATCAAAGGCTAACATGGCTTTCTCTCCAATTGTCTGTTGGTCCTATAGAAAATTATTTACTCAATTTCTTATCCTTCAAATTGTCAGTAGTATTCAAAATATTACATATTTTTTCAGCATCATCAACCCAATATACAATAGAAATCTCTCTCAACTTTGAATTACTCTTTAAACATTTACATTCAAAATTTTTATGGATAAGTAGTAGTTCCTCACACTTATATACACACAAACATTCAGACATATATACCCCACATCAAGGGTTTTAAGGAGGCCTTACTCCACAAATTTACTTTTTAAAAATATTACCAGATGTCAGTTCTGAAAACATTACCAGCCGGTCTTTTGCCCTAATCCACAAGAATATCCTCGTGCAATCTATTCTACAGGAGTATTTAATAAAGAATATTTAATTTCATTCATTAAATGAAAAACAAAATAGTGATTAGCAAAAATGTGATAAAGTTATTACAGATACAATTCTGTTAACTCAAGGCGGAAAGAAATAAGCTTGTTTTGTTTTTATCAAGCACATTATAATTCTAAAATGTCCCTCTATTACAGATACAAAAATAGAATGGAATGTGTGTGAGGGTGGTGTGCGTCAGTGTATTTTCACACTGTGAGCAACAAGTAAATACATGATGACTTTGAAGGTTCTTTGGAAAGTAAGTTTTGTTTTATGGGAATATACAGCTTTTTTTTTTTTTTTTAGACAGAGTCTCACTCTTTTGCCGGGGCTAGAGTGTCGTGGCGTCAGCCTAGCTCACAGCAACCTCAAACTCCTGGGCTCAAGCGATCCTTCCGCCTCAGCCTCCCGAGTAGCTGGGACTACAGGCATGCACCACCTTGCCCGGCTAATTTTTCCTATATATTTTTAGTTGTCCGATTAATTTCTTTCTATTTTTAGTAGAGACGGGGTCTCGCTCTTGCTCAGGCTGGTTTCGAACTCCTGAGCTCAAACAATCCGCCCGCCTCGGCCTCCCAGAGAGCTAGGATTACAGGCGTGAGCCACTGCGCCTGGCCTGGAATATGCAGCTTTTATATATAAGAATGATTATCCTCTCTTTATGATATAAAAACCAAAACACAATTCCCTTTAAAAATCACTCTTCTCCAAGGCTCTTTCAATGACCTCCCCCTCTTCTGACTCAACATTCTCCTTGGTATCTAATGATGCAAACAGTTTCAGCCATCACTTACATGCCAATGACTCCCAAATCCACATGACTAGCCAAGAATCCTCTACAGAATTCTTCTGGATCTTTATAACCAACAACATCTATCTCTACCTGCATCCCATATGCATTTAAAATACAAAAAGTCTAAGACTCAATGCATTTCCCAAACCTCTTTTTCTCACCAATTTCCATCCTTCACCTAAACTAGAAACCTAAATATTATGCTAAACTATTCTTCCTCAGTCTCATTTCTAATAAAACACTAAGCCTAAACATTTCGCCTTTCCATCTTCTCATGTCCATCGTCACTGCAGCTGTCCATGTTCAGGCACTTAGTATCTCTTGTCCAGACTACTGAAATAACGTATCTATTCTTCCTTCTCCCTAATTAATCTTCCACACAGCTGCCAGAGGAATCTTTCTAAAATAGATTCTTCAGTATTCTTCACTAACCTTTATCATCAATACGGCACACATACATGACCATTCCCCTAGTGATCTACGCAGTCTGATCTCCAGACAACTCTCACTCTACACAACATGCTTCAACGATACTAAAGTACCTATGTTTCCCTGAGCACGCCATGGTATCTCAAATTTCTGTGCCTTTGCATATACTGCTTTTTTTCCTCCAACTGCACCGCCATTAGCTTGTCAAGTTCCTACACTCACTATAATACACAACACACTGCATCTTTTCATCTATATTCTCTTAATGGCTAAAGTAGTACTTTGAACATACTATATTTTTCTACATTGTATATTTATTTACTGAAATAGGAATAAACCAAGGCAGTGCAGAACTTGGCAAGAAACAGAAGATCTTTAACAGCTTACAGATTAGAAAAGCATCCAAGGGGACAAAATGAGCTATGCCGTAAGTTCTCTTAACATGTAAAAAACTAAAAATAAATAAACCTCTGCTCCTTCATTGGATGCTGATGCAAACAATGCATATCTTCATTTATCATTTATGCATATTATGTTGCAGAAATAAGACTCACTGATTATTGGGGATACTGATAAGTAGACAAACATTACCACACAATGCTATAATACCAGTATATATAAAGGACTATGGGAACACAGGAGTAGTATTTGGCAGCAGTTAATCAATTACCAAAAATTACATACACACACATGTACATATTATGTATGTATCTCATACCCATCTCACTGCAGCTGCAATCATGTATATATATACAAAAACATGTATGTATAAATATGTGTATATATGAGACATTGGAATTAGGTACTAAAGAATGAATAGGACATTGCCTGGCAGAGACAAAAGACAGGCATTCTAAGCAAATAGAGGAGCATGAACAGAGGTGTGGGAAGCACTATTCAAACAGTCATGCACCAGCTGGGAAACAGGGGGCTTCCAGGTGTGTTCCGATCACAGAGCCAGAATAAAGGGTAGGGGCACAAGAGGTGAATGAATGCAATGATCCCCTTTGAAACTCTTGAAATAAGCAAAGACAGTAGTATTGAGGATGTGCCTTTGGAAATCAGAATACAGTGATGACTTTAGGCTCAGAGACATTTGGTGCTCAGCATTGTCTTCTAAACGAATGAATGCTCCCAGCCTACATATTAATCTAGCTGGTGTAACAACCACGATGTTTCATAATGGCTCTACATCATGCTTAATTTGGCATTCTTAGATCTTCTGCCCAGTAAGTGTTGTACAATACTAGTAGACATGCCTTTAGTGCAATAGAACATGAACCCCTGTAATATTTAGCCTGCCATTTCTCATTTGCATCTCAACTTCTGTGGGTCACTAGAAAGTAAATTATAAAGTGTTCCTCAGAGTCTACATCCCTATTATACTATTCAATCTTCACAACTTTGGCTTTTGGACTATTGTCTCTATTTCCAGGTTTTAGCTCTAGATACCTTAAGAGTACCAGAAAGCTAATGATCGCACTGAGGTATGCCATACCTTCTTAAAGTTTCCAAATATTACCAGGTTAATATCCCAAAAAGAACTGATTCATTCCTAAAGAGAAATTTTAGAAATCAGTAATATGTATTTCATTATAGAAGTATTCCACATATGTGAATTTTTCATGTAATTAGAACTTGCACATTTAAATAAAACTTAAATTTTGAGACATTTCTGATAAAAACAAATCTTTCTAAAATAAATTTACCTCCTCACCTTCTTAAATAGATGATATTAAATCTTTG